AGTCTAGATGGCGTCGCCCGTCTCTCGCCCTGGCAGGAAGGGGGATTGGAAGGGCAAAAAAGACGGCGTTCAGGGAATGGGACCTCCGTCCTCTTGACTTCCCAGACGCACCAGTATAACCACTATATTATCGTTGCCGTATTGGAGGATGAACGAATGAATAGTTCATCGAACGATCGCATGACTCACTTGATAACTGAATATATGAATAGAAAAAGAAAAGAGCAATAAACAAAGCCGCAAGGTGAACGAACGAGGTGAATGTACGATTGTATTAATAATTACTTCCTAATCGCTTAACCGACAACCCAAATATTGGTTTGCACCTGATTCTGAATATATAGAATCAACAAATTCACCTTCATCGTCCAGTCACCGGCAAAGCCATGCCGATCTCTTCGGACTTGTCAAAACATGAAATGGATCCGTTGGCGACGCGATTTGGGATGTCAGAAGAATGGCGTCATTGCCACGAACACTAGCTAACGGTTCTTGGCATCCGTTCTAAACAAAAGCAGCAACAAAACATGCGTAAACCCCTTTAAATCGAGATAACGGAGATCAGAAGTATTAATTCATGATGATGCATCCAATGCAAATGGGTACTTCGGGATGCTCACGTCTACTTGGTTTTATATGTCCTAACACACTAGTCGTAATTTTGATTCGAGCAGGGGCGCTCTTTGCCTCACAGGGGAAGCTGAGCCGAGGGCTTCCTCATGACGAGCGGAATCCTAAAAAAATGACGAAAACGTCCCATCCATATCAGATTATTTGTATCATATGTCCGCAGTTCGAACCTCTCAATAGCTGCCCAACCTATTGTGCTCATTGTCAACAAACGTTAGTAGGGATTAGGGAACCATCACAGACCGAGCAGAACAAAGTGCGCGTAAGCATGAGAGAGGTTGAATAACAGCTACAAAAAAGCTTAACTTTGGAACCACTTTGAGAGCGCACAAAAAGAAAAAAATTAAGATGTCTCAATCGCTGTGGGCACATACCCGTAGAGGCAGACGGATATCCAGTTTGTGAGCAGCTTTTCCATGACGGTCTCGGTGCGGCGCAGCATCAGGTGAGGATGTTTGGAGCGCGATATCCTGGATATGTGCCGCACCAGCAGCTGGTGTAGTACGGTCGTCATGTACTCCATGTTGGTCATCAGGATCACCGTCAGCAGGGACGCCACCGTCACCCTGAAAATAGCACCGTGGTCATGTGCTCCATGTTGGTCATCACGATCACCATCAGCAGGGACGCCACCGTTACTCTGCAAGCTAAGTGTCGCTGCCGTAGGCGTCATCCGGTGTAAATTTCAGATATCAAGCTAATGGTAATCAGGCTTCATCATTATCCGAACTGTCTAACGACAACCCAAGCACTGGTAGCTTGGGAGAGCATCCACAAGTAATGGCAACTGTTTTTTTATTCGTACGTGACTCACAGATTTCTCACGATTGCATCCGTTAGATTTGACTTACGTACGCATATTGCCAATTCTCACTCTACACACCCTGAGGACGAAAAATCGTCACTTCTCCCGTTCCATCAATAAAAGCCGCCCTGCTCACCTATCCCTGATGGAGAAGTCCTTCTGCTGCTCCATGGTGTCGATGACGGTGACCAGGAAGCTGGGATTTCTCACCAGCTGCTCCAGCTGCAGCATGGCCATGTCGAGCGTGGTCCGAGGACTGGTGGGAGACGAGGGGCTCTGGTGCTTCAGGATCGGATGATCCGCGATGCCGGGGAACAGAACCTGGCCGAGGTGGACACAGCGGTATTACTCGGTCACTTCCACATTCATCGCCCTCCTAAGAACACTGGAACGGAAAATAACTAGTGGCTTTATCGTTAGTAGGAGCTGCACATCAAGCAATGTTCATCTGTTCGCAACCATACGAGGTAAACGTTTCACTGACCTTGATAAGGAACTCCCTCTGATCAAGGCAGTCGACCTCGTCGGGGTTGAAGCTGGCCGCCAGGCTGTTAAGCTGCGCCTGCAGGTCGGGACTGGCCGCCGCCAGAGGGTCGCCGCCCCGCCGCGAGTCCCACGTGCACATGGCCGCAAACGCCTGCTTGCACTCGGAGCGAATGTTGTTCTCGAGCGTGTCCATCTGGATCTGGATGCGCTTGTACTCGCGCTCGACCTGGGACGACTTGCGCCGGTACACGAACAGGATGAGCAGCGAGGCCAACACCAGGACGGCGGCGCCGGCCGCGATGCCGCCGATCACGTCCGCACCCAGCTGGCGACAGACAAAAACAGACAGGTTAACGCACACATATTAACCACAGGTTAAGATGATAATGAGGGGGGTTTTATGACGCGCCGGCTATTATGGGTATTTTGTGCTATAACCGCAGTTCAAAAGACGTGCAAGTAATATTAAAACGTTGATAAGCGATACCCGGTGTGTGAAGCAAGAATTGCTGCAACATAGTAAGCTACACACAAATTTCAGGCTTATGACGGGAGACCCTCGGGTTGGAAATTGGCAAAACTAGAGCAAAACGAATTAGCCGTACACAAATAATATCCGAAAATAATGGCATTTTAATGCAAGCACCGAGACCAGTGGTGGAAAGGGGCAAGCACTAAGGTCGCAACAACCATGCTAACGCAGAATTCAGCATCATCTGCAGCGACGTATGAGCAGCTCCCAGCCTCTACCTTGAACGCGCCGTCGTCGTCATACTGCAGCTGTCCGAGCGTGAACCGGAGGTTGCCGACGCTGACGACGACGTCTGGCAGCTGGCTGCTGTCGGCGCCGAGCTGGCCGGCCGGCTGCTGCTGGGGCGGCACACAGACCAGCTGGCTGGCCGTCAGACTGGTGACGTTGCAGGGCTGGCCGCCCACCGTCACCGCCGTGTCACGCTCGTCACTGGCCGCGCTCAGGTCACGACCCTGCAGCAGGAGGAAAACAGGCATAACAAAACCATTCCAGATGGCCAGGGTGGGGTCGTTAAATTCGTTTCAATGATTTGTGGAACGTCGAAACATGAAATCGGCGTTACGTGACGCTCGAGTGACGTCATACTACACTTAGCAACTTCTCGATCTCGATCTCGACGTATTTATCATTATCACGGGCAGCACAACGGTTGTCAAATGCACAAGCCATTAGCACTGCCAAGCCAACCCATGAGTGATGGTTGGCGCCACATGAGGCTTTACTTGTAAAGTCCCTTTAAAGTATCGAACGACACTTGGAACCAATAGACTACGTCCTGAACATGTCTTGGAGCCTGGAGTTTATTTTGACTCGTCCACCGTTCGCTCCCTTTATGCGCTACGCTTTCGTAACTTCTTGAACTTTCTCCACAACATTCGCAGGATGCCGAGTAACTGAAGGCCAACTCCTTCCTGGAAGCACTCGCCAGGACATTCATTTCTTATTTTTCAACTGGCAGTAAAATGTTCTCTAGGTTTGTGATGTAATAGGACATGTGCGTGTGGGTACCACCGAATTGCATGGTCTCATATTCCACGTGCTGAGTGATTTTCACCAGCCACTCTTGTATCCGTCTTAGCGTTTATGCGCGGAACATTCAGTCATTGCGGGATTTTACATAGTTCTGGCCCGCTCCAAGGAAATCTAAAAAATGCACAGAGTTGTATGCATTCCAACAGTTACAGTGCACCGCTCTGCTGAGGCAAAAACAACAAAAATGAAACTTTCAGTTTTTTTCCTGGATAAAGTACTGCACCTGAAATATCGGCACACATGCGTTTTTCGAGCCATGTGTTTTTACATCCTCCCAGAAAGGTCTTAACATCGTTGAATACCATGCCGTTCTTTACTTAACTTTGAACCGATTCTTGGAATAGCCATTTGCACATAAGTGTGTTTACTGCCAGTACATACATATTCATGCCGGGTTTATTCAAACCACATAACATTTTCCGGCCAAACCCTATCAGGAGTTCTCTCTAGCGATTCCCGTCGCCGTTGGAGTTCAGCCAAAGCCATGACCTAAAACACGCGTCGCAGTGCACCACTGAAGTGCTGCCATGACTACCTTCCAACGTCATGCCCAGAGTCTGTAAAGGTACAATATGCTACGCGCACACGGGGGGGGGGACTTGATAATTGCCCTGAAGAAGTAGGCCTTTTGTGCGAACGTTAACCAGCGGGTCATCCAGAGGTGGCGTTACCAGCGAGGTGCTTCAGGCAGTTCACTTGAATTTTGGAGTTAAGAAAAAAAACAGAGCGCACTAACAAGTAGAATCCATGATGGCCCGACTTCAACACTAAATACCTTCAGCTTTCGGAACTGTTTTCACTCTAGGTCTTTGACCTGTTGCGAGACGGTCAGTTTATCAGCAAGATGCTGGCAGCTCCCAGCTCTCCCCCTCTTCCCCCCCCCCCCCCACCGTAGTCTGCCTGTAGCGGCCGCTGCAAGCGGTAAGAGGGCTGTAGGCGAGCACAGTGTTGTAGCTGCGCATCCGTCATTTTATGGAGCTAACATTTCGCAAGTCACGCGCCGGTTAGGGATCGCGCAAACGGTACGAAATTTACAGGCAACGCGATAGCATGGAAGTCCCCGAGTGAAACGAAAAGACGTGGACTGCAGAGTAAGAAGTATCGGAAGGTGCGGCAGGACGATCTAGCCCGAAACAACTGGATGACGTCAGTCGTTTCCTTTGCTGCTGGTCCAGAGTAGGTTAAGATGTATCCCACTAGCCAGGATTGACGGCAACGGTTGGCGACTGGAGGGAACTAGTGATGATTGATGAGCGCACAGTTTATTATTAAACACGGTAATCAAACACGCGTATTTACGGTTTTATTATTTTCATGCGACGTTATCATCGTGTCCCACTACCACGGCACCCTTTTCGCAGCCGAACGCTTCCCATCCCCCGACCACTCCCCACATGGCAACATTACGAATCATTCGCGACCTCTGGTGTCGCCACTGAGAGTCTGGGCCCAGCAGTGCTTTCAGGAATATTGGTTGTGCTGAAGGCACAACTGGTTATTGCTCATTTGAACTGCATACTAATGCTTGCCTCATCCACAGCGGCGTCTAGCTCCATCTGCTGAGTTCAAAATGCTTCCATATTCAATTACGCCAAACTTTTGTCCAAAATATTTAGATATTCCTTCTTCAAAACTCTGAGCTGAAATTAACAAGGTCTATTGATCATTAGCAAAACAGCCTCATAAACTACCGCGGGGTATTCGAATTCGGGTCGGTTAAGGTGGCGCAAGTCTGCAAACAGACTTTGCGAACCAAAGCGAGTCCCAGTTCATTGTAGTCCTAAGTAAATAAATATAAATTCCTCCCGCATGGTACCACTTTGCAGCCTTTCAAAAAAAGACACGAAAAGAGAATAAAAGCCGCTTCTATGTCTAGTGCTGCCTCAAAGAGGTAATTCACGAGACGTATAAAAACATTTCACACAAACGAAACAGACTTATGACAAGTTTTTATTCGCACATAACAAGAACAAAATCAGTTTACCATGCATTATCTACCAACCTAAAATTCATATGGCTATTACAATGTTTTTAATCACCTGTAGAAGATTAACAATGTATGAGAATTTCCGGGACTGGCTCCAACCGCTGGCTCACACATACGCAGCAAAAGACAAGTTCGTTGCTTTGATCGCGGCTAACCTGCCATAAACATGCATTGCCTACTTTATTGATACCAAACTTTCGTCGACTCACTTGCTTAAGAACCTCAAATCACTTATTTATCCTACGAAAGTTGAAGCTTGGACTAATGAACTCTTCTCAGCCGTTCAGAGCCACTCGCGTCTTACCTCGATAACCAGTGTGTCTCCGCTGAAGATCTTCACGTCCTTGGCGAACGGGAAGTAAACCGGATCATCCACGTACGTCATCGTCGACAGCACGTTGTGAAAGAACTTCTTCAAATTTTGAACTTTCTGTACATTATCCATGAGAAAGCCGATCTGAAACAGCAGAATAACAGTGCAACACATTCTCCACATCATCATCATCAAAAATATCATCATCAAATCATCATCATTACGAGTCATTCGCGACCTCTGATGTCGCCACTGAGAGTCTGGGCTCAGCAGTGCTTTCAGGATTATTAGTTGTGCTGAAGGCACAACTGGCTATTGCTCATTCGAACTGCAAACTAATGATTGCTTCATCCACAGCGGCGTCTAGCTTCATCTGCTGAGTTCAAAATCATCGTGAGTTCAAACCAATCATGAGATCACATCATCAAAAATAAAATTAAAAAATAATAAAAGACGACAGTACGCGCCGGTTGAGGGAACATCAAGCCAAAAGATCGTTCAAGCCATCAGGCCGGTGTCCGCGCACCAGCCCGGCAGCGTGCCTACCTGCAGTTCCCGGTGTCGAGGCCCGGTCGGCCGGCTGTCGGGTGACCGGTGCATCCGGGAGGCTCGGGAGTCGGCCAGACGGAGCGGCTCCGGCGCCGGACCCGGCTCGCCGGACAGACGGGGGATGGCCGGCGACGGACACTCCATCAGCTCGCCGGACAGCACCAGACAGAGCTGTTCAACCAGGCGCCACGTTAGAGACGGACAGACAGACGGGTCACCGGACAACACCAGGCACAGTTTTCCTACCAGGTGCCACATTACAGACGAACAGTCAGACGGGTCGTCGGACAACACCAGACAGGGCTGTCCAACCAGGCGCCATGCCATCGACGAACAATCCGTCGAGTCGCCGAAATGGGGTGTCTGGCTAGAGCCGCCGCCACAGGCTATCAATTCCACCGTCCAATTCACCACACACCACACCACACCACAGTCACAATTCACAATCCAATATCAATTCACCAGGTCACCGGTAAAGAGGCAATAAAATGATCGCATCGTGTCCGCCACGCTGATTGGTCTGCTGTCAACTCACGGTGGCGTTGATTGGCCGCCGGTGTGTCTCATTGAACACTATCATCTGAGGCGCCTGCACCGAATCCAGGTGCCGGCCGTGCACG